AGACATGTCTGGTTAAAGTATGTATATTGCTCGTTTCATAATAAATTTGATTTTCTACTTTTGCCCTCTTTATTTACAGGCCTACCTCATCGTCGGTTCCGGCACACCACAACCGACTTGCTCTTTTAATACCATCCCACACTTATCAGTGTTTGTATCTTCTGTACTATCATGAGCCCTTAACACAAATATATATATATATATATATATATATATATATATATATATATATATATATATATTGAAACAACAATTTCCTACTTGTATTTATAGGCCTATAACTTGCAAAAAAAAAGCAATAAAGCATGTAAACACTGGGTGTTTTTAAACTTGGGACAAAATGTTGAATCTATTTAGCAGTTTTTTTCATTAGCTTTTGTAGATAAGTAAAAGATTTTTCAAGTAAAAGTCCAAAAACATGTTTGTTTTTTAATTTTTCACCATATTTTATTATTTTTTTTTAAATAAAATATATGACATGATACAAATAATGGTATGTAAAGAAAGCCCTTTATGGGAACCGTAAATGAGAGAGCAGAAAATTACAGCTAAACACAAACACCACAAAAGTGTCAAAACTGGTCCTTAACGTACAAAAACAGGCCGGTCCTTAAGGGATTAAGAGGAAAGAAATGGAAACACATACAAATCAAAATATAATACAGAATGACAATTCTGAGATTATACACTCAAATTTAAAAAGAAAATCAAATTTTTATCCTTTATTTTTAAAATCTGATAATATGAAAGCGTTTGAACATGCATGTCTTGAAGAAATCTACAAAATAAAACCTTTATCAAAATATTACCAAAATCTTATGTTTCAGGAAAAACAAGCTATAGAAGAGATATTAAAGGATCCAACAATAGTAGTAAAAACAGCTGACAAAAGGGGGTGGATGGTGGTGGGGGTTGGTATTTTAGACAAAGTAAAGTATCTAGAGGAAATAGAGCGACAACTAGGAGATGAAAATACTTGTAAAAAAATTAAAAAATTGAAAAAAGATCCAACAAATGATATTAAAGAACTTTATAAAATATATCTAAAAGAAGGATTTGACAATGACATTATTAGTGAAGGAGAAATGTCATTTCTATTACAAGAATACCCTAGAATACCAGTAATGTACATACTCCCAAAAATACATAAGGACCCCATAAACCCTCCAGGCCGACCAATAATATTGGGTATTAATTCAGTTTTATCATCCCTTTCTCAATATATTGATTTTCATCTCCAACCAGAAAAAGCCAATCATATCTTCAGGATACAATGAGCTTACTAAATATTTTAAAGAATTTTAAATGGGAAAAAAGATTATCTCTTGATTATATGTGACGTAACTAGCGTGTACATAATAATCGAACATAGAAAAGGATGTGAGGCTATAAAATTTTCTCTGGATCAATCAGACCTATACAAGGATATCCAGAAAGACTTTATTCTACAAGTCATTAATATGATCCTTGAGGATAATTATTTTGGGTTTGAAAACAATTTTTTTATGCAAATGAAAGGAACAGCTATGGGGGCCAGGTTCGCACCGAGTTATGCCAATCTATTTATGGCTTATTGGGAAAGACAATTTATTTATCAAAATCATGAATTCGGTGTGAACCTGGTCCTCTATAAAAGATATATAGACAATATTTTTATAATTTGGAAGGGATCAGCGTTTTTATTTGATACATTTTTTAATACTTTTAACACCAATAACTGGGGAATCATTTTAACTAAGACTATAAGTAATGACAATATAGATTTTTTAGATTTAAATATTTATATTTTAAATAATCAAATCATGACCCGGAGTTTTTTTAAACAAGTTGATGTGAACAGTTATATTGAGATAAAAAGTTGCCATCATCAACCCTGGCTCTCCAATATTCCAAAAGGACAGTTCCTAAAACTGCAGAGGAACTGTTGTAATCTCCCTGATTTCTATTCACAAGCATTCACTTTAAAAGAACAATTTGTAAAGAAGGGGTATGATGAAACCCTTTTAGATAAACAAATTAAGGAAATGGCTCTTATAGAAAGATCACCGCTTTTATAATATAGGAGGAAAAAGAACCAAGACATTTCCAAAGATCATATCCCTTTTATTTTAAATTTTTCAAGTGATGTGGGAAAAGTAAAACATATCATAAAAAATAACTGGCATATTCTGAGACAGGAACATGAAATAAAATAATTTATTGGAGAAAAGCCAAAATTTATTTTCAGAGGAGCCAAGAACTTCAAACAAAAGTTAATAAAAAAGTTTTATAGAAAAGGAGGCCCCAAGTACAACAAATAATTTTTTAACCACATGGGCACAAAACCAAACAGGTTTTTACCACTGCGGTTCATGTAATGCATGCACTAACTCAAACATAACTAGTAGAAACATAAAATAATCTGTTTCTACTGTAACTAATAGAAAATATAAAATTAGAACTTTTACCTCCTGTCATTTATTTGCTAAAATGTAAATGTGGATATCAGTATGTCAGTAAGACATCCGGACCAATAAAAATTAGAATCAGTGAGCACATTAGGAATATTAAAAAGGGTTTTTTAAATCACAGTGGGTCGAAACATTTTTTAGAAAAACACAATTTAGATCCTAGCACTTTGGAATTTTATGGGATAGAAAAAGTGAATAATCATTGGAGAGGTGGCGATCTATCAAAAAATTGAGTCTGCAATAATCAAAGTGGATTTTTGAAATGAGGACATTAACCCTTTTAGGACTAAATATAGACTTTGAGATCAATTGTATTCTATAAATCTTTCATTTGCCTCTCCATTTGTGTGCTTTATTCTGGAACTATTTGATAACACTTTTTAAGATTTGTAATAATAATATTTTTTTATCACTGGAGATAAAAGGGCCTTTTTACTCTACATTTTTTTATCTTATATTTATTAAGAATATTATATAGATTAACTCTGTATTTATTTTTGTTTTTATTTGTGGTCTTATTTATATGTAATCAATCCCCATATATCTAACTTTGTTTATATCCTCTTTTTATTTTTCGATTATTATGTGCACCTTATGGACAATTTGGGCACTATGGGTATGAGTGCCCTTGTTTTCAATGGCATCTTGGACAGTAAAAGCCACTCCCCTGGGAGGTTTACAAGGAATTGACGGCTACAATACGAGCAAGCTACAGGGAATAATGCAGGAGTTATATGCCACCGGAAGTGACGCGACACACTGAAAACCGGAAATACATCACCGGAAGTGACGCAACGCACAGTACGGACGGACATGGTTGGTTGGGCATAGGAATAGGTCACGAACTGGATGTGGCGCCATATTGGGGATGGCAAACCACATCTGGTCATGACCATATTTGGAAATGGGCGGGAACCCACACCCTAATTACCATTGTTTGTAATTAAGCATATCCTCTCTCTATATATATATATATATATATATATATATATATATATAAATAATGTAGTTTCAATGTACAGTATACCTGCACCTGAGGAAGACCTTACATAGGTTGAAACATGTTGTGCTTCTTATACATTTATTTTATGTTTTTACAAAAGTTTAAATAAATAGTTTTTATACGTGTCACTTTGGACCCTGGAATCTTTGTTGCTGATATCAAGTTCCGGAGTTCCTGTGGACGTGATTATACCAATCCTATCTCCTGAAGTGAGATGAAATGCTTTATAAGTTTAGAGCCAACTTCTAATAGGCTCATAAAATTGTGAGTTTACAGACTATCTTCACTTATTATAACTGTGTAAATACAGATTACACTATGTGTATGTATATCTATTTTATATAGGTTACAGAATCATTTTATATGAAGTACCTGTTATATATGTATATATATATTTCAGAAGGTAAATTTTACTCTCTTTGTGCGCTGAATCACTAAGTGAGACCTCATCTTTGGTTGATGATTCTGGATGCATCATACATATTTCTGTGTTTATTTATATGAAGTTTATTTCAGTTTTATATTTTTCTATTCATTCATTTGGTACACACATAATTGCTGTTTTTTAATTATATCTGACATCGTTTTGATCCCTGGACATCATTTTGATCCCTTCTAGCACCCATGAAGATACATAAATATCAGGGAGAAGATCATTTAATACTTTGATTTTAAGTGATGGTACAATATTTGTCCCTAGATTCAGCCCATTTTTAATTTTGTAACAGTTAATCAGAATTTGATTTAGAGAGAGAATTTCACAAAATAAGTTTTGTTTTTTAATGGTTTGATGAGGTAACCAGAAAATTGATGGGACACATTTAAAAGGATTTATTTTTTTGGATTCTAATTTGTGTGAAATAGATATTTATTGATACAGCAATACTTAAAAGACAGATTTTCCTACGCAGAGGAAAATTAACTGTTGGAATCAGAGTTATCCAATAGCAATAAGCAGTGATAACATATTAGGCATAGCACTGCACATGTATGTAATGGATTTTCCTACACAGAGGAAGAGTAAATGTTAAATCAGAGTAATCCAATCGTCATAGGCCGTGGTGTCACATTAGCCCCAATATGTCGGGTCATGACTAGTTTGGCCTTCATCTTTGGGTTCTGTCAATTGAGCACCTTTTCAACTTTTTTTTTTTTTCATACTGGACATGTTGTTAAACTGTAAGGCTTGAACCCTCCCCTACACCAGTCATGGTCGCTCCAACCACAGTGGGGCACACCGACTCGATGGTACTTCAGGCACCAACTGAACAGCACTCAGCTTTATGAATTGTGGTCAAGGGGGGTGGAGAGGCGGGGGGACAGTGAAGAGGAAGATGTCAGAGAAGAGAGGTGAGAGTGAAAGAAAAGAGAGGAAGCAGGGGGGTGGGTGTGGAGCAGCTAGCCGTTCGTGATCCTGGCGAAGTCCGTTGAAGTCAGAAATACCAGCCAGTAGAACTAGCATTTAGTATATTGTTCTTGTTTTTTGACCAAGCCAGCTTTAGGTCTTCAAATTTCCTGGTGTCCTGAACCTCTTCCACCCACTGTTTTAGAGGTCTTCGCCTGGCGCCAGCAGGTCAGGATTACCACTTTAGCTGCGTTCAAGAGTCGTGGTATCACCAAGTGTTTGTACCTCTGTACTGTATTGGATGTGTGATGTAGCAAGTAGGTTCCACTTGGGGCGGCAACTCCAATAGTCTCCCTACTACTTGGCTAATCGTTTCCCAGAATGGCATGATTAATCGTGCCTCTTTCTATTCCGCAGTGCCAGCAGAGGTCTGATGCCTCTGCGTCTCTTTAAAGTAGTGTGGACTGGGTCAGGTACTACTTTGTCAAGATCTTGTAGGAATAATCATGTACCACGACTGACAACGGTGTATTCTGTATGAGAGTCAGCATCTTGTCCCATTCTGCATCTGTGAACGTATGCTGGAGGTCCTCCTCCCAGCTTCTCATGCAGGGTGGCAGTAGTAGGTAGCAGTTCATCACTAGCATGTTATACAGGGAGTGCAGAATTATTAGGCAAGTTGTATTTTTGAGGATTAATTTTATTATTGAACAACAACCATGTTCTCAATGAACCCAAAAAACTCATTAATATCAAAGCTGAATATTTTTGGAAGTAGTTTTTAGTTTGTTTTTAGTTTTAGCTATGTTAGGGGGATATCTGTGTGTGCAGGTGACTATTACTGTGCATAATTATTAGGCAACTTAACAAAAAACAAATATATACCCATTTCAATTATTTATTATTACCAGTGAAACCAATATAACATCTCAACATTCACAAATATACATTTCTGACATTCAAAAACAAAACAAAAACAAATCAGTGACCAATATAGCCACCTTTCTTTGCAAGGACACTCAAAAGCCTGCCATCCATGGATTCTGTCAGTGTTTTGATCTGTTCACCATCAACATTGCGTGCAGCAGCAACCACAGCCTCCCAGACACTGTTCAGAGAGGTGTAATGTTTTCCCTCCTTGTAAATCTCACATTTGATGATGGACCACAGGTTCTCAATGGGGTTCAGATCAGGTGAACAAGGAGGCCATGTCATTAGATTTTCTTCTTTTATACCCTTTCTTGCCAGCCACGCTGTGGAGTACTTGGACGCGTGTGATGGAGCATTGTCCTGCATGAAAATCATGTTTTTCTTGAAGGATGCAGACTTCTTCCTGTACCACTGCTTGAAGAAGGTGTCTTCCAGGAACTGGCAGTAGGACTGGGAGTTGAGCTTGACTCCATCCTCAACCCGAAAAGGCCCCACAAGCTCATCTTTGATGATACCAGCCCAAACCAGTACTCCACCTCCACCTTGCTGGCGTCTGAGTCGGACTGGAGCTCTCTGCCCTTTACCAATCCAGCCACGGGCCCATCCATCTGGCCCATCAAGACTCACTCTCATTTCATCAGTCCATAAAACCTTAGAAAAATCAGTCTTGAGATATTTCTTGGCCCAGTCTTGAAGTTTCAGCTTGTGTGTCTTGTTCAGTGGTGGTCGTCTTTCAGCCTTTCTTACCTTGGCCATGTCTCTGAGTATTGCACACCTTGTGCTTTTGGGCACTCCAGTGATGTTGCAGCTCTGAAATATGGCCAAACTGGTGGCAAGTGGCATCGTGGCAGCTGCACGCTTGACTTTTCTCAGTTCATGGGCAGTTATTTTGCGCCTTGGTTTTTCCACACGCTTCTTGCGACCCTGTTGACTATTTTGAATGAAACGCTTGATTGTTCGATGATCACGCTTCAGAAGCTTTGCAATTTTAAGAGTGCTGCATCCCTCTGCAAGATATCTCACTATTTTTGACTTTTCTGAGCCTGTCAAGTCCTTCTTTTGACCCATTTTGCCAAAGGAAAGGAAGTTGCCTAATAATTATGCACACCTGATATAGGGTGTTGATGTCATTAGACCACACCCCTTCTCACTACAGAGATGCACATCACCTAATATGCTTAATTGGTAGTAGGCTTTCGAGCCTATACAGCTTGGAGTAAGACAACATGCATAAAGAGGATGATGCGGTCAAAATACTCATTTGCCTAATAATTCTGCACTCCCTGTATATGGTGGAAACACTTTTAGGAACCATGATGTCTTGTAGGCATATGCTCTCAGTCTGTCAGCTCCCTAGTGATGCTCGGTTTTTGTATCACGTGATTTGCAGCCTCTTCAGCGAATGAAGTAGTGTGTGTGTCGTGTCTGGGAACAGCTCTGCCAGTGTCCGGATGATTCTGTCTTGTCCCAGGACATCTTGCATCCTGGGTATGGGGGCTCCTCTCAATATCCCTCCCAGTGAACCCTGTGTGCCAATCGGGAAGTCTGGATTGCTCCGTAGAGGGAGTAGATGGCTTGGTGTTGTTGTCGGGTCATTTTTGGGTCCATATCTGTGCCATAGGGTGAACGTTGCTTTGCTAAATTGGTTCGGGGGAGTGGCTGCGCCATCTTCTTATCCCCTGTCTATCCAGGGCAGGGCCCAGAGGTCGGTCTTTATACTATCTGTTTTAAGGTGGACCCATTCTTTTCCACTCCACGGGGTTGTCCAGCTGATGATTCTGGAGAAATGGGCTGCCAGGTAGTATTTTTCAAAGTCTGACAGTACGAAATGGGAATCGGCGTGCGAGTTTCCGGTGCGGTTCTCGAGTTGGGGACAGGTCTAGTATTTAAGATTTGGTATAGTTAATGCATAGAGTGCGCCATATTCCTCGAATCCTGCCATAATGTTTGGCATTGTGGAGGCCGGGTCTGACACCGCAAAGAGCAGATCATCTGTGTAGGTCAAGACTTTGTGTTTGGTCTTCTATGCCCGTATGCCTTGTAAGGCCTTGTTGCTCCTAATCCTGTTTAGGAATGGTTTCAACATCAGTGCAAACAGAATGGGGGAGAGCGGGCAGCCCTGCGTTTGGGCCAATGCCTAGTGTACACAGGACTCCGAACATGAACTTCCAGTCTACCCTGTCAAATGCTTTTTATACATCTGTGGACAGGGGCAGAACTGGGGAGTCTCCGTGGTGGGCAATTGCTATCAGATTTAGTGCTCTAATAGTATTGTCCCGGATCTCCCTTCCTGAGATGAACCCCGTTTTTTCCAGTTTGATGGTGTCTGGCAGTAGGGGGGAGAGGCGACCAGCGAGAACCTTGGAAAGAAGCTTGAGGTCCATGTTTAGTATCGTGATTGGTTGGTAGCTCTGTCTTTGTCTTCTTTGGGCAGGAATGTGATATTGGCTGATGTGAATTGCGGGTAGGGTCTAGCATCTTCCAAGATGTAATTCCCTGCTTTCAACAGCTTTGGAAGTAGCTCCGTACAGAATGTCTTGTAGTTTAGCAGGGGCAAGCCATCCTGTCCTGGTGATTTACCATTCTGTGATGTTTTGATTGCATAGGCGAGTTACTCCATGGAGATGGGTGCCTCCAGGGATTCCAAGTTATGATTCTCCAGTCGTGGTAGGGTCGTGGTTGTGAGGTATTGTTGAATCTCTGCCGTCATCGGTTTCTGTGGCTGGTCCGCCGCTATGTTGTATAACGATTGGTAATATTGTAGGAATATCAACAAAATCTTGTCTGGGAAGTGGTGTAAATGTTGTGTGGGGTTCTTGATGTATAGTTCAGTTTGTTTGTGCCTGAGTAGTGTGGCCAGGAGACGTCCACATTTGTTGCCATGTTCATGTACAACGTGGTGAAATTGCTGGTAGTAGCGTTGGATTGATTGATTGAGTAGAGTTGTAAGTTGGCCACTCTGCAGGAGAAGATCCCTATATACAGTTTTGTCCAGCATGAGTTTGTCGCCGCTATAGTTCAGCCATGTCTATGTCCATGTCTTCATGGCTGAGCATCGGGCAATGAGGTGGATGTGGATCTCTGTGCTACCAGCAATTCAGAGTGTTGGAGTCCAGGGTTTCATTATGTCACATATTCCGCACATAAAAATGTGATTAATGGCATTTACTGTTCTGACAGGAAAAGTTGTGCAGAGCAAAATTACTGTCCTGACAGTAAAAGTTGTGCCGAGCAGCAATCAATCCACAGGAGGGTTTGTGCTGAGCAGAAATCATGCAAAAAGAAACCTGGTAACTGCCTTTGGGGTCAAAGGCCGGTTACAACCAATCAGATCCACAGGCAGTGTATTTAGGCCCAGTTCTCCTCTTGCTCAGTGCCCTGTCGTGGTTTCCCTTGTGATTGTCCAAGAGCGCGTTATTGATTCTGTTTTTTCTGGTTATTTGACTTTGGCATTGATTTTTGACTTCCCTGTTTTCTGGCATCCCTGACCCCTGGCTTTTCCTTATTGTTGTGTCTCTTTCTGTGACCCTTGACCTCGGCTATTCCTGACTATTCTTTGGTACGTTAGTCCAGCCATTCTAAGGTCCGGTATACATTACCTATCAGTCCTCTGTGCTACAGAATTCGACGTGCTGGATCATACTGTAATCCTGACACATTGGTCACGAAGTAAACTGTTATTGCCTGTCCTATTTCTTGCACCTGCGTCTGGTTTGAGCGGATCGATTCGTTCAGTTTCCAGGATCCCTGGTGAGGGCTAAAGAGCGGTGCTCACAATCTGAGGCGTATCGGGTAGTTTCAACCATTTCCTTGGGAGGATGTCTGAGCCTTTCAGCAGATTGAGGGAAGCAAGGTGCATAAAAAAATGATCTGGTCTCGTAGGTGTCATGGGTTGTGGAATAAAATGTATACTCACACATTATTGGGTTGAGTGCCCTCCAGCAATCAGTGAGTTGGTGAGCATGGAGGAAACATAGAAACATAGAATGTGACGGCAGATAAGAACCATTCGGCCCATCTAGTCTGCCCAATTTTCTAAATACTTTCATTAGTCCCTAGTCTTATCTTATAGTTAGGATAGCCTTATGCCTATCCCACGCATGCTTAAACTCCTTTACTGTGTTAACCTCTACCACTTCAGCTGGAAGGCTATTCCATGCATCCACTACCCTCTCAGTAAAGTAATACTTCCTGATATTATTTTGAAACCTTTGTCCCTCTAATTTAAGACTATGTCCTCTTGTTGTGGTAGTTTTTCTTCTTTTAAATATAGTCTCCTCCTTTACTGTGTTGATTCCCTTTATATATTTAAATGTTTCTATCATATCCCCCCTGTCTCGTCTTTCCTCCAAGCTATACATGTTACGATCCTTTAATCTTTCCTGCAGAAAGCTGCAGTGTTTTAGCGTGTCAGTTTGTTTGCGACATGCATTGTTCCCCTTCCTTCCCCCTTTGTCTGTATGTTTGGATTCCAATTTGTACCAA